CAGACACAAGGACGAACATCCAAACTCACTCAGAGAGACAGCGCATTGAACCTAAAAGCTCTCTACTCATATAGCCACCTTACCATTTATTACATCATAGAATATATGGGCTATCCTTGCAACATTTCACGACAGACACTCTCTTGCTTCATACCCACATCAGTACACCAGCGGTTGGTCGTTTCTCATTTCAAACAAGCTCCTCAGCCCCGAGCGGCGGGGGGCTGGCAGCGCTCTCGTCGTGGCGGACACTTACAGGTCAAAACTGTGCAGGTAAATCAAAGATGACAAGACCAATCGTACCAAAAAAAGACAGTATTATCTGATGTATACAAATACAAATGCAGGAAATGAAAAGAATGTGTGCTCATATTCATGCACATGCACTGTTCTGAGTTTTTACCTGAAAATCAAATGTTGAAAGAGTATTATGCCACTTTGTATGTGAAAAAAGTTTGTTAATGTTTGTAGAGCTTTCTTTAGATTATGTTCTCAATTATAAAGACCCTGCTTGCAAACTATGAAACAATGGGAAGCCAGTGACCCGAACACCAATCAATACAATTGTATCCCAATACAAATACACTTCACATGTCATTGTTCATTCACTCAATATGCAATGGCGATCAGCTGTTGCTATAGCCACCGCTGGCCTGGAGCACACTGACAGAAGCAAGGAAACCAGGATCTGCTATCGGCCCCTCTTATCACCACCAACTATAAATGTGCACACCAGACTCATTCTTGGAAATGTAGATGAAGTGTCTTGCCTAAGAACACAGTTTGGCACTTTACAGCCGCCTCCTCACCACTGTGGTACCTGATGTCCCCAGAGGTCTCTCTCTGGCGTTTACATGCAGTTATGGCCGCGATGATATGATTCTATATTACAAGCTCACTTCAGAAACATGCCGGAGGATCATGAGAATGTAGACTTTTAGAATTCCTTTGGCATGTAGTTGGGAGGGCCGCTTTCCCCTTTCATACATTTACATTTCAAAAAGCGGGATTATTTCTATTTTTGAACAATGGTCGTATAGGATTATTTTAAAGCATACATTTCTTGTGGTGAATACTGTGATTTTCTCTCCGTGTTCTACTGCATTAAGCGCACAACAAAGACTTTGATGTGAGGGCAAATCTCTGGCCTTGTATAATGTGCTTGACAATAATTGTCTTATTGCTGGTTTTAGTCTTGTCTTATATTCAACAGTGGTTATTTTTGTAAGATTTGGCTTCTGCTTGGACGCCACGATTTATAAGACACATCTAATTGCAATTTTGATTTTATTTGCGATTTCTGTTTTGGAGCCATATGGGATAATGTTCAAAGTGCCTGTGGAGAATATGCATTTAAAAGAGAACTGAAACCTTTTTTAAAGTTTTAAAGTTTTCATTTAATTAAAACATATTCCATTTACTTGGTCTCACTTGAAATCACAGTGCTTTAAACTAAGTGAGATGAGACGTGACTTGCCTTTCCCTCTAGCAAAAGTTAAAGTAAAAAATGTATATTATAGTTTTTATAATTTTATTCTAATATAATAATACAATATTTTTTATAATGCATTTGTTTATATAGCGCTGTTTTGGTTACTCTGAAATGCTTCTCATTGCATTGTTCTTTTACTCCCTACATGGTGGTGATAAACTTATGTAGCCACAGCTTCTCTGGAGCACACTGACAGAAGGACGCCACCCAGAATATGCCATCAGCCGCTCCGACCACCACCAACCATTCATGTGCACTCCGGATTAAATCAAAGCAATGTGGAAGAAGTGTCTTGCCTAACAACACAACATTAGTTTGGCATTTACAGCAGCAGTAGCCACCCCACTTTGGCACCTGGTTAGTACTGAGGTTTCCCATCACAGTACTAACCAGGCCCTGCCCTGCTTAGGTCTGAGAGCATCTGGAATTCTCATACATGTCACACCACGAGGAAACGTTTTTTTCTTCTTTGTTTTGCAGTCTTTCAGTAATCTTTGTCTTTCTCAGACCTGTAAACACGGCGATTTCCATAATATGCAAAAATATGATGTGCATAATTGCAGTAATATAAATAATGGCTGTCTTTGGGATTAGCTAATTGTGGCCCCTGAAATTATGACTGCCATTAATCATGCAGCTCTATAGCCTCTGCCCATAGGTTCAGAATGTGAAGATTAAACTAAGAGAAAATTGTGCAAAAATCCAGGAAATAATTTGTTAAAATTGGCTTGGGCTAGAAAGGGTGCCCTCAAGAGTCTTTTCTCTTTAGAATCAGTGCTTCCATGGCAGCGCAGGTAATGCGTGCAATTAATGAGGTTTGAGGCTGAAACTGTGAACTGAGCGGCACCCAAATTGCACAAAAGTCAAAGAAATTTTATCTTTGTCTCATTTTATGGGACCAAGCCTTGTACTTCAGTAATAGTGGTTTAAAATCGATCACATAATAATGGTAAACGAGTAAAAAGCTCTGGGCCGCAGTGTCTGTGTGTGCCGCCATCTTGGTGTTACTGGAGAAAATGACAACAAATGTGTACGTTTGGGGTCGTGTTATAGCAGAAAACTTCTTCCAGTGTTGGTCCACAGCGTAAACAACAGAACCAGAGTTTCACAGCGTTCACAGGGTTTTATACCAAGGCAAAAATATTATTACTCCCCTCGGCACCTACGGCACCACATCAGTTTGCTTTGACCTTCCACGGTCAAAAAAGTTCTGTCTGTTTTAATGATTGTAATGAATGTTGTATTTTAACATAATTGCAAAAGAAGTCTTATAAAAGATACATTTTATTTTCATATTTTAATACGACTGACCTGAAAGTTTATTTACGTTTTTTTTCTGGAAGATAACGTTCACAGGGTTTTCAAACATGACAGATGTGATGAATTTGAAGTTGCATAAACAGACATATGATTTTTGTATGAACAAGAATACTAAAAGTACTTAATGTACCAAATGTCCATGACAAAAATCTAATCCTTCAGATATATTGTATACTGTTCCAAGTTTGATTTGTGAAGGCTATCGTCCACAATACCCAATACATTTAATGCCAGGATGAAAAGGAATAGTTGTGTCAGAGGTGAATTAAAAGTACTGTTTTGTTCAGGGCTAACACTAAGCTGAACAAAGACAGAATTGTGCAGGGAAGCATCCTGACAGTTTTTATGCTCACAATCCACAACTTGTACCTTTCCTACATTCAGCATTTACTAACTCTGGGGAGATACTAGTCTGTTGTGAATGGTTGGAATTCTTTGAGCTGTTTCTGAATTTTCGCCTGGCTTCACACTGTAAAGAATGTGCTTTTTGTACGAAAGCATAATGCAACCAGAACCTGCATATATAGACTGACAAAAAAAAAACATTCCTCCCTGGAGTTGAAAGATCTGCACGTCCTAATTCATCTGCCCTCCCACACACTAATTTGAAAAATGTAGAGCTTTTAAAAATGTCAAAAACTTGTGCTTCTGACTGAAGAAAGGTCAGGTTTGCGCTTTTGAGACCAAATAAACAAGTTGACAAATGAATGTACTTGTGAATGCCTTTATCAACACGTTTCAAACCAAGACTGGCTGCTACACAAGTTCTTACTCATTCTCTGTGGCTTACAATGTTTTTGTTTTTTTGTTGTTAAACTGTCAATTTAAGATAAAAGTTTACATTTTGTGCAACAGAATCATAGCATCGGTCAGTTCCATATCCCTTGGTGGAAACCGTCTGAAATGGCAGCGTTTTGATCAGTTGGGCTACACAGTGGGCGGGTGCCTTTTTTGCTGCAGTTTGGTCGTGATATTTGTAGTAAGCAGGACTATAACGTCTTTCAAACTCTCCAAACGTCCTCTGTGTTCTTGCTGTAAAACCTCAGTTCCGGTGATTGTTGCCTACACAGAATGTATGACTTGATTTACGTCCATCTCAATCACTTTGTTTTCCACTGCTTTTCAATTCAATGTATTTTTGTGTAGCCCTAAATCACAACAGTAGTCGTCTTGAAGGACTTTACAAAGTTGTAGATTCGCCAACAACAGGTCACAGAATCAAATACTTTGAAAACAAACTCATGGGAGCCATTAGTTCGAAGGGAGCACCATGACCCATGTCCATAAATGTTAATAAATGTGCATAAATGTCCATACATTTCACTAAATGTCCCGGATCATCTCTGTTCTTGCGAAGGCACTAAGTGGCCCGGCTAACAGAATCATTCCAAGGAAATAAATATTTGTACCATTATATATTATTTTCAGCTTTACCGCAATGTAACTCTCAAAACTACATTTACTTCTATAATTCAATTTACAATGTACAACTAATATATGCAAGACTCATTACCCTCAAAGAGAGATTTATCAAGCCTTTATTTCTTAAAATGTTGATACTTGCATTACAGCTTGTGAAAATAAATGTACAATAGTTGCTTGCAAATGGACTGAAAGCCTTGATTATCAATATACAAACAAATGCTTGACATATGTCACCTTCCATGTAATCAGTCTATATAATATATTTGTTCCATGTTTTAAATTACAGAAATAAATGAACTTCTATCTCTTTCCAAAGACAGAAACATTGCTTAATTATTAATTAATAAAGTATTCACAAACCTGTGAATGGGGGGACTCAATACCAGATTATTCAGCTCATAATCTGATTTGTGCTGTAACCTCATAAAATCCTTATAATTTAGATGCAATAAATGGTCGACCTACACTTTTTGGTCAACAATGAATTGTCTAAATGTCTAAATACAGGCTCTTTTCCGACCTGCGTACAACTGAAGGATTGTATGTTGTGTGTTTACAATTTTATGTATATGATAATCTCTTGTTTTGGGGTCTCATGTGTTGCCATGTGTGTGTGCTAACCAAATAAACATGCCTTCACAATGAATTCCATACTTTAGCGTGACCAATGTAATGCGCAAAGCTCTTTCTGTAAATTATCAATGTTTATGAAATGTTACGCAATTCCTAAACAATAATTTTCTGCTACCTGTTCTTTTCACAGATCACAGAGAAGAGCCAGCGAGGGGCCAATCGGAATCCATATTGCAGTGATTGGATGTAAGGCGATTTTGACCCTACAAAATTGAAGATGACGTTGCTATGGAAACTGCTGGTCCTGCAGTCACTCGTGGGGTGCCTTGCAGGTAAGTGCCTTGTTAAGAACTTTCCATCCAGCTGCTTTTGTGTCGGGCCAACTCCTTTTTCTCGAGGATTCAGGTCAAACGGATGAATGATGAAAGCACTGTATGAACATTTTAATAATGCTGTTAATGTGAATGTGGCCCATAGTGTGACTCATACACTGTGTTTCAAAGTTGCGTACTGTGGAAGTAAAATATACAATCATGTTTTTGGTCAAATTCTAAGATAAAAATTAGACAAAGATAGCATAGATTGTTTTGCTTTGCTCTTCTTCCATCCATTAGGACAGGGGTGTCAAACCAGTCCTCAAAGGTTTGTGTGGCTGCAGGTTTTCATTCCAACTGAGCAGGAGCACACCAAACTCCACCCATTTCTTCAAGTGAGTCCAGTTTTAACCTGAAGACTTGAGCAAAATGGAAATCAGTTTGACACCCCTGCTTTAGCACATATTCTCGAAAAAGTACTGTACGAGTGTGACACGAAAATGCTAACTATATTGGGAATCATAGATGAAAGAAAGAAACAGAAAAATCCTCCAGTTCTCTGTTCAAAAGTCTATTTATTTATTTAATTCAACTTACAATGTGAAACTAATGTATGACAGTCTCGTGACACGCAACGTAAGATTTATCAAACATTTGTTATACGGTTGATCATCTACAAAGACTTGGCATATGTCACTTTGCTGGTAATTGGTCTATATCATATATTGGCTTCACATTATAAGTTGAAGTACAAAAAAGAATTAACTTTTAGAGGTTCAACTGTATTTTGACATGTATTGACACACAGGAGTTAAGAAAGGTGTGTAAAAATAACAACGTCCTCTGCAGCTTTGGGATTCAGTTCACAAATACCAGAATACAGACACCTATCAATCAAAGGACATATTCATCGGACCGTTTATTAAAACACAATCCCGCTGGCGTCTTCTGAAATTAATAATTTCTGCTTTGATAAATGCTCTTGTCATTTGCATTTCATTCATAACAATGATATGGGAGCTCTTGTTTTGCCACAATAATAAAAGGACTCAGGCATAGCAGTAAATGTCTTGCATATCTTTAAAGACTATTATGTTTTATTTACAGTATACATGTTGACATATGGTACTCACAATACTGCATGGCCCTTGTCACATATTTTTTACGAAATTCGGAGTATTAAAAATTATTGTGTTTAAGGATTTTCTAGAAATCTTTTATTGAAAATCCTTAAATATGCATCAAGTGAATATTGTACAAACACAAATACTATAGAAAACAACTGAAATAATACAGTAGTAACAACAACGAATAAGATTTAATTTAATTCATTTGTTTAAGCCAACAACAGATCAGAGAATCAAACGGTTCGAACACAGGAAACGCAATAATAACAAACACATAGAAGTCATTAGTTCTGATGAAGCGGGATGACCACTGTCCATAAATGTTACTACATGTGTACAAATGTTCATAAATTGACATATATACCAATAATAATAGATAATAATAATCAAACTGTATACTCCCTCAATACTAAGCCACACACAACCCTCAGATCCCCCACATAGTATATATTGTGTGTCCTCTAATTGGACCTCTTAAATAAAGCCATTTTAATACATTTTGTCTCATGATGTTGAGATATGGGATTTTTTAGAAGTTGGCATCAGAATACATTCTCATAAATCTGTCCATTTAAAATCCATACACATATAGTTCCCAACATACTGAGAGAAGTCCTGAAGCGCTCCAGTGTCACATACCAATATTTGATTTACTTTGAGTGAAACAGACTTTCAATCACACTTATCGTTAAATGCATTGATGAACAAATGAATCAGCTCTCCTCTCTCCACATTTGTAAAACCATGTTTCATTTACTGCATTCTGAGTAAGATTATAAACGAGACCAAGCTTTCACATATAAAATCCCTTTCTGGCGTTTCCTTGTGGCCGCCATTCGTTTACAGTGCAGTAAAGATGAATTATATCTTCATTATGGCGTGCAGTTCATTTCTGCTTCAGGGCCTTCTTGGCATTGATCACGTTTTGATTGAGGGCTTTAATTTGTCTGCGTTACAAATAGGTGGGGTCAGCAAAGAGCATCAGTGGAATCAGCCAGTGTTTAATCAACAGGTATTTCTCCAATCAAGAGGAGGCTCTGCTGATGAGCTCTGAGTCTCTGCGCTTTTACAGCCTTCAGCAAACTATTTATTGACAATGCAAGGGAAGAATTCTGTGATGTAATACTTTAAAACATAGACTGCACAGTTTCGCATTCATGTTGTCAAAGAGTCACTGTGACTCTTAAAGGGGCATTAAAGGGGCAGTATGTAATATGCAACTTCTGTCTAAAATCTTCCTGCCTGTTACATTCACTTGCTGGAGTTTAGCTTGAAACCGTACAATTTATCTGTCTTATGTATTACTACTTTTTTATCTGCTTTTATTGAAACAAATGCGAGGAGTTTTCTTTGTTTCAAAATAAAAACATATATAGATAACTTAAATGTCACCTATACAAAACTGACAGCCCAGTCTCATTCTACTCTCTGACTGGAAGATCTTCTTGAATATGTAAAAATCAATATTATGGACATCATGTTCATTGTATTTTTCTCTACATTTTTGTTCTGAAAAGGTCAAACATGTGACCTATTTTCTTATAAAATATGCACATGTAATTTGAAATAATTTAAAATGTAAAGGGACATACTATCCCTGTACATTTTAAAATGGTAGAAAAACATGCATTTTCAATTAATTCAGTACATGTGATATTCTTATTTTGTGATTTATTCATTCTGCATAAAGCAATGTTCATAGGACACATTTTTAAGCTGCCTTCTAGTGTTGATACATCTGATTGGCTGGTCATTCATTTGAAATCGAATTAGATGTGTGAGCTTTCTGAACCTGATGCAACCTTTACGAATGGCCACGCTTATAAATCTGAATAGTAACATGTTGCATCTCGTCCCCGGACCAAAATATCCTCCCAAAATTAAACCCACCTTCAAGTAGTCAACCATGAATACCAGTAAAGACAAAAGAGGAGAAGGCCCCAGGAGCAAGGACAGACGGAACTGCAAAAACATGGAATAACTTTGTATCGCATTGTTATGGCCCATAGTTTTGCCTGTACACACCAAATGCGGACAAAAACAAAGGGGATTGTATGAAAGACAAAATAAAAAAAACATAAAACATGGAGCTCAATAATTCTACCTATATAATCTTAAATGGACCGTTATTTTAATTTGAAATGATATCTACATGTTTCATGTCTCCCCGGATATAGGTATATGTACATATTTGACCTTTTCTGATCTAAAGTTTAAGGTTGAGGTCTAATGCATTAAAACTACAATGAAAACCATGTCCCTAATATCTAAGTTTATAATTTTCAAAAATATTAACCAATCAGTGAGCAGAATTAAGTTCTCATTTGGGTTGTTAGATTAAATTTTGCTGGTCTTGGCTCCATTTTTCAAAATTATTCAAAATTGACAATCACATAAATAGCTCTACGCATTTGTTCAACTGAAAGCAAGCACATACAAAAATAAGTAGTCAGGTATAATACACAGTTCCCTATTAAAGTACTATTTTTTAATCTAAACTTAAGCAGGTGGATTCTAGAAGGCAGGAAGATTCTTACAACAAAAGATTCATTGTAATTGTTTAGCCTTTGTTAGACCATGGTGCACAATGGCACAGTTCTTATTGCTTGTCCACCTCCACTCCTTTCGGTGTCGATTTTGAATATTCTTCCTGCGTCTGCATCGTTTTCCTCCAGGTGCAACGGTTTCCCCTATACCACTAAAAACATGCACAATAGATCTGAATGTGTGAATGCACGGATAGTAATGGGGAATTTATGTGACCTGGATCTGTGAAATGCGCTAAAGATGACTTACTTACAGAGAGAGCTTATTACATATCGTCCCTTTATCCCTCACCTGTGTATGGATTTTCTATAGACTGAGACGTGATTATGTTGTTCATATTGTTGACAATATTCCTTTGCACATTTTTCTCCTGCAGGCTTTGTTTTGCCAGTGCGTTGGTTGGAATGAGTTTGGTTGCGTCTGTAGCAGATTAAAGAAGCGGTCTTGCCAGGCAGACTCATATATTTTTCCCGGAGCTGCACACAAATACGCATGCATACACTCTTACATTGGACACCTCATTGGTCCCTGTGAAAGCTGTTTCAAGTCATTTTGGGTGCAGGGTTGTAAAATGCAAATATGCAGCCGGTGCGTGTAAAGAAAGAGAATTATGTTTTCCCACAACAAATACGAGAAAAAATCACACAGGAAACCGTTTTATTATATCCGATTCCGTTTATCAGCGACACAGTAACTACAATATTGTCATGGTGTGGATTTTGTGTTGACTTTTTGACTTTTTTGTGCTTTTAGTTTAGTTTGACTTCCTGTTGTGTTGCACCAATATCTCTGTCTATGTCTATGTATACCTGTGCTCATCCCCACTTGTGCTGGTCCATTGTTCATGTCTGTCTTTGTTTGGTTCCTGTGTTTTTACCTGGAACTTTTTTGTAATCTTACTTAATTCATTATAATTTGCATGTTGAGTGCTCCTTCATCTCACCATTTGACAAATATATCATGATATTTGCAGGGCTTGGCAATATCATACTGCTATACAACAAGTCATGTGAATATTGTTCAAAGGTCCTCCAGTGCTACAGTAGAGGTGGAGGAAAGCCGCGCACCGCTTACATCAGATGAACCCTGCGACAAGCTTCCCTCCAAAAAGAACTTCTCTAAAGTCGCCTTGTCTGCATTATATGAGAAAATCCGCACTGGTGGGTTTTTTGTGTATCCACCCCCAAGTATGAACTCATTATTCTAGCACTACATGTTCTCGTTGTGCTCGACTCATAAATGCACACAGCTTTTTGTGGTGAAAGATATATTCAAATTTTTTGCATTCTCCAGTGACATGTGGTAAACCCAAATATGGACTTGTATATTACCCATGGTGTTACT